GGGGAAAGCAGCTAAAACCAGCTCTTTCTTGAAGCTGCAAAAACCAGGAACAATATTGACATAGTGATATAAAATTTTTTGGTTCGGAGCGTATTTTGACCAGCATCAACATTCAAGTTTCTCTGCTTCACATAAAAATACTTACCATTAACTTTAAATAAGCTCATGGTGGTCCACCCTCTCCAGCTGGATTCAAGCAGCCTCAGAGCCACACACCTCTGATTTCTTGGGAAGTTCAGCTCCAGACTGAAGTTCTCTGCCTCAGCTCCAATGCCTTTTTCATGCCTTTGACTAGAGACCATGTTCCTGATCTGGCCTTTCCTCAACAAAAGATCTCCAATAGTCTCAAGAGACAGTCTTGGGCTTGACCTTCACAACAAAATGAAGCTAGGAATATTTAACAGGTCTGTGTCCTAACTGGTGAATCAGAAAAGCAACATGCACTCATAGAAGAAGGACATCCATATACCTTCCCTGCTAACTGTAGTATCACTGACATCATCTTTTACTATGGTTTTCTCATCAAAATGACAAAATCGGATCCAGACCAGTACCCCAGGGCTGAAAAGACAATGATGCTAATCCTTCCAGACAGTGTCTTCATCAGAGCTGCTAATATATCATTTAAGCAATTTACCAAATTAGCACCAGGCCATATCTCAGTCTGGCTGCTGCAAGTCAGACTCCTTCCAGCCTGCATTTGCTCTTTTCCCCTTATGTCCTCCCTGCTCGCCTCACAGCCTGTGGGCAATGCACTGCTTGCAATACACTCCAATAGTGCTCACAGAGAGAAGAGAAGTAAAACTGTAAGTGTCATTCATGCCAACAGGGACTGTTCCCTACCAAATCACGCATGATTCAGGGGTCAGCAACGGTTGTAGATGCCTGCTTGAGCATATCCCCAGGCAGAAACCACAGAGATGATGCCGCGCTGTCTGCTTAAAATTCTGATTTACCCGTCTAAATGTATTTTCTCAGCGGCTTTCCAAAGCATTTCCACAAGACAGTGCCACTGACAAGCAGGTTGAGGCAGGAACAGTAAGTGCCCAAGCACAGCATGCTGACATGCCTCCTCTGCAGGGTTCCCGTGTCCCATGCAGGGTCCTGGAGGAGCCGTGAAACTCTCCTACTACTCGCCTGTGGGAAGAGAAAGGAAGGGGACGGTGGGGAAGGGGCAGACACAGGACACTTTCTTTACTCCAAGGACCTTCAACTACTTTTAATGTGTAGCGCATAAGCTTACTCTACACTGTTATTGGATGATACTAACAAGAAATTGGAGCTCACCTTTATTGGACAAGTGCTGCTTGCTCCAGTTTGAGCTGTAGCTGCAGGCTGTATCCAGCGTGTAAACTAAAGCAGCCATCCTTTCCCTTGGGGAAGAAAGGGTTCCCCCCCCCCCCCTCATTCACCCAGAGAAGGAGTCTACTTCCACCCAAGCTGAGAGAGGTAGAAGCTGTGTTTTTCCACCATGCATAATTTAGCTCTTCAAGCATTGATGGCAGAAGATTATTATACAAGACAATTTACAGAGGGTGGGTTTTTTGCAGCAGGGGGGTGTGGGTCCAGCCATTACCGATCACATGAAATAACAATCCGTAAGTACAAGCAGGTAGATGCGCATACCTATGGGAAATGCATGCCATCACTTACTGGGGCTGTGTCCTAGCTGACAGCCAGGGACTGTGTTCAGCAAGCTAGTGGTAAGGTGGAGATCTGGCTCGTGGTCA